GGACGGGCGGTGAAGGAGGGAGGAAGAAAGGTCGGGAGTGGCGTGAGAGGGGAAGAGAGACACGCGATGTGGGGGAGCGAGAGAGGACGATGCGTGCACGGGGACACACACGCACGCTGGCGCACGCATGTGTCACGGCCTCGAGGTGTTCCACCACCTCGTCCTCTGCCTCCTCCGCCACCACCCCGGTGGCTCTTTGTTCACGAAAGTTCGGTTTACCTCGTTCCCTTCCGAGCCCGGGTCGGTCCGTCCGGGTTTCTGCTTTTTTTCTCGTCTATTTTTGCGCCAGCTTCTTTCGGATCGCGCGAACCAGTCTCGGGAATCGCCTCGACCGTCGAGAATGGGCCGTTTCGCCCGTGGAAATAGAGAAACGACGATACCGCTAAACGATTATGGCGAACGTGTGTCGATTTAATTAAAGATTCCACCATGGCGTCGGAATATCGCGGGGACCCCGTGTGCGTCCCTGTGTGCGTGCGCGGCCGGCAGGGTTGGGGCACGCCGGCGGGCCCCTTCCTTCCTCGCGCGACGGTGGCTCCACGAGAGGAGCTTCTCGATCTCGGGCGCGAGGCGGCGCGCGAGAGTGGCTCGTCGGCTGCGTAAGATACGCCGATGTTGATGGAATTAAATTGAGAGTCGCATAGGAATGGCGGGGAAAATCGGAGGCCGAAAGGATGGATCCGCAGGATGATCGGCGAGTCGTCCAATTTCACGGCGGGACGCTATTTAGGTATCGCCGGCGATAAATTATCGGGCGAAATTTGTAGCCGGCGGCCACGGGGCGTCGAAATATCTTACGACTATTTAGCGCGACGTGGAATCCCGTTTTTCGTAAACACGTCCGCGCCGCGAAAGATATGGACGCGTTATAAAAAACGGTGGCGACGTCCTCATCCTCCCCCTCCCGCCCCCTTCCCCTTCCCCTCGTTCTTCCCTTTTTCTCCCGGAGCGAGATTTTTCTTTTTCACTTTCTCTCTCTCTCTCTCTCTCTCTCTCTCTCTCTTTCTCTCTCTCCGTGCCTCCTCGTCCGACAGCGAAAACAAAGGGGGACAGGAGAAGAAGGAAAATCGTGCGTGTGAAAATAATGTTTCCGTTCATCCTATTTATCACGTTCCCCGTGGGCGTCCTGCCTCCCGACCGATTTCGACACTCGACTCTACGAATAGAAAAGGTGCCATGCGACCGGCAACCGTCTTCCACTTTCCGCTCCGATCCTCTCCTCTCGAAGGAAGCGGAATACGCGGGACCCAGGCCCTCTTTATCAACGCGACGATACTCCGGATCCACTCTCCATCTTTCTCTCTCCTCTCTTACTCTCCTTCTCTCTGTCTCTCTATTTCCCTTCCCACTCGTCTGCTTCCACCCTTTCGCTCGCTCGCTCGCTCGCTCCGGCTCGTTCTCTCGAAATAACTCCACGCCCCTGCCGTATTAATTACCAGGATTCATTTCATCCTCATTTACCGCGAGCTAATTTACCGCGGAGAAGCCCGCGCGATATATGTACGTACGCAACCCTTCCCTCGTGAGTACTCAGCGCGAGAGATCGACGACGCAGGCTGCCTTTGGGAAGCGATTAATCGCGGAATCGCGCCACCGTTGCCTGCCCGTGGAACGCCGGTACCTCGTTTGCGGAGCCGAGGGGAATAAACCTCTGGAGGATGTAATATACACGGGACAGGTATTTTTGGAATCTACGCGTGGTTAATACGCGTGCCCCGCGGGTCGACGGTGACCCGCGATCAGAGGGGGCCAGAGGTGAAATTTTCTGAGGTCGAAGGAACCCGCGTCCGTTTATTTCCTCGGCAATCGCGCAGGAAGAGGTATACCAGTTATCTCGCTACCGCGTGTGCGATAATATCTGAAAATCCCCCGTGTTCGAATTCTCCACGGACTGTTACGTCGTCCGTGGATAGATATACCGGCGACGAGTACGGAGACTCGGACTGAAATGTATTTCCATCTCACGGTCACTTTTTAACTCCACCGGGTAACCCTGTGTAGATAGTTTGTAAATGTTCTAACCTTACGCGCGTTTATCTAAATAGGCAGAACTCCGCGAATGACATCCGCGGATACCGCGATGGCGCGGGGGGAGAGGGGCACGGTCGCGAGGATTTTACGGAAAAACGATAGGCCGAGGTTCCCGACCGGTCGTATGATTATTCAAATGTAATGGAAGCTCCCGGTGCAGTTAAGACTGGCCCGGGTGGGGCGTCTTTTCTCCGGGGCCCCACTGCTACCTCAGCCACGAACGACGTCGCGGGGATGGCGACGGGGAGACGCTGAGTTGCGAAGTTGTTAACGCAGGATTAATATGTAAAACATTCTCGTCGGGCCGTAATTAAAACCTATTGACATATTTATTACCGTTCGATCCCATTCCGATGTTGCTTTTATTTATTTTGCCAACGCGTGCAACAGGTACGTGTCGCCTATTATGATCGACGAGATAGACGTTCTTCCTCTTCTTCTTCCGTTTTTTTCTTGCCCCTTTCGTCTATTTATCCGCGTGTATATTATAAAGAATTATTAACCTTAATTAAACGGTAACCGCGGCGCTAATGTCCCGTTCTCCTTGCGTGATACCGATCTCGTTTTCTTCAGTCGAGGTATAATGCAAATTACGAGCCTGTTCGATTACATATAGACACGATGTTCGCCAACGGATATTAATCACCGTGCGGTTTTACGATCTCGACTGTCCCCGACCTAGGTAAATCCATCAGCCGATCGTTTCGCGTTGTGCCCCGCGAGGAAGTGCAGCGAATTTCCTTTGACACGGGGCACCCAAGCGTTATCATCATCGTCGTCGTCGTCGTCGTCATCGTCGGTCCACGCGAAACGACGCCGTTAAGAGACTCGACCGAAGCGTGCATCGGCTATTATTTGCATCCATTTGCATTCCCACTGGGGAGTTATCGCGCATCGTAACGTAACAATCCCTCGTTACATAAAGCACGCCGGGACACTTTTCGTACGATTACGCGCGGAAAACAGTGCAAACGACAAAACACTCGCTATCTGTCGTTGGTCCCCTGTCATACGAGCACCTCGCGGCGACAGCTGAGCGGCCGCGCGTGGAGGGGGTATTTTTGAGGTGGAAGAAAGAAAAAGCGATCGCGCTTGCATTAGCATGCAACGAGCGTAATTTCCGTGCGATATTTCGTCGTTTGTAAAAGTGCAAACACGATTGGCCGATGTACCGCGAAGGCTCTGGCCAACAATTTGACTTATTCGTGCGCCGGCACGACGATAAATTTCCATTTAATTTATTCGGTCTCGAAAGCCCCGAGTGGCATTCACGGCTACACACTCGGCTGTCATTATACGAAATTACGTGACAATTATTGCTATCGGAGGACCCTGATCGCGAGGGAACATCGACGTCGCACGCATAATTTCAGCCGCGGGAAAAACTCTGCGTACACGTTATATATATATTTTTTTTGTTTGTTTATTTCTCGTTTTCTCCTCCTTTTTTCCTCTGCCCCTTTTCTGTCCCCCTCCCCTCCCCGCGGCCGGCCTCGGCCCCCGTTCGTAGCTTCGATCGGCGATATCCGAGCCGGATTATACGTCTCGTTACTTTTCCTTTCGATCTCCTTCGTCCAGTCCAACCGGTCCTTTTAAGGAGTTAATTGTCGTGTGTCATCTGTTGTTTAATAACGACAGATACCGCTACTCCATCCTCGATTATCGTCCATTAAAGTAACACGGAATTGCTATCGAGTTATCGAGCACGCATTTATAATCGGATCCCCGGCGATAAGCGTGTGTATCACCTGCTTTCGAAAATTACCGTCATTACCGCCATTAACCCTTTGCTCTAGAATTATTTTTAAAGCCCGACGAGTTTGCCCCCGTAATTTATTTCCATGTACCCGTTTTACGAGTGCCGCGGACATTTTTGCCCCCCCCCCCCCTCCCGTACACCGCGATATACACCGTGTTAACCGAGAACTGTTGACGGAAACCACGATTCGCGACACGGGGTAACGTGAATCACCGGGGTAACACGAGTCCGGGGGGCGGGGGCAAAAAGGGCCGAAGGGGAACACACAACGCCGAAGAGATTTTACACGGAGACACCGTGCGCGACGTTTTATTGCCGTATGATTTGTTTACGTACAGCTTTGCCGGCCTAGCCTCGCCACTCGAGCCACCACGATTATCTGCCTCCGCGTAATACGTCAGATCTATCGGATATAGTTTCGAAACTCGTCCTTCTTAGCGTTAATTCAATTAAATTTCCGTATCTGCCCGATTATCTTATTATTCGGTGTCACTGCCACTTCACCGCTTCATTGACAAGATCTCGCCCGCGCTTATCTCCGCTTTCGTCAAAAGCGTCGTTAGCCGGTTCCTTATCGAGCCATCGACGTGTTCCACGATGCCTGTCCGCTCGCGAATTCACGCGGTCCCCGTGAAAAATAATTCGCATTTTCGCCCACCGTTTGTACTCGCGCCATTACTCGTCACGGGGTCGTGGAACCCCGCGAATTTCGTATACTTGGTAGACGTACCGCGAATCCGCGTAAAAGGCCATATATATTTCACTCGAGAGACCGAGTACGAATATCAAGCGAAACTCGATAAATGTTATTCCAGAGAAAGTCTAAATTTATATAACCATATAGTCATTTCCATTGCAACGGAGGTTTCTCCTCCCTCCGGAGACGTTTTCGCGGAGTAGCAATTAGAAGCTCCTCTGTTATAAAGTTGACGCGAGTTTTTGCGCGCGCGCAAGAAAGAATAACATATGAATTACCATATGGATCTGTTTCATTAGAATATTCCATATATCATTAGATTATTGCGGACATAATATCGGCTATTAATCTTGGTAATTTCGCGAACGAGAATCGTTTCTCGCGCAGGAATAAGTTGAATCAACGCGATTTGCATGGTCGTATGACAGATGTGATATTATCCGAAAAGGAATAAGCGAGAGTGTTGTCACGCGTGCGCAGGTATTAACACGGTATGAACGAATTGTTTTTCAGCTGCTGGTGAGCGGCGGGCAGCCAACGACGGCGACGTCGCCGGCGATGTCGTCGGGGGGCGCGTTGAGTCCCGGGGCCCTCTCGCCGTCGTCGTCGACAACGACGGGTGCAGCGGCCGCGGCCGCCTCCGGAGGGGCGAGCACCCCTGTGGCCGGCACCACGGGACCCGGTTGCTGCGAGAACGGCAGGCCCATGATGACGGACCCCGTGACAGGGCAGACGGTGTGCAGCTGTCAGTATGACAGCGCGGCCAGGCTGGCGCTGGGCGCGTACCCCAGGCTAGCGCCCACCGCCACCTCCTACTCGTCCTACCCCACGCCGACGCCGTCCACCACCGACCAGGGGCCCTACCCTAGCATCGGAATGGACAGCTCCGCGTTCTACCCTCCTTTGGTGAGTATCCGACCACGTTTCGTTTTTCTTCGCTTACTTCTCTTTTTCTTCCTCTTTTTTCCATTCTCTTCGGAGAAGGTCGTGGGTTAATTGTAACTACGGAGGTAATTAGCGACGTTTACGCAACGACGGATGAATTATTCATAGCCTATTATGCGGCTAAGTCGTCGCGTATGGGAATGTCTGTTCGATGGGTGGGGTTCGGGTGTCGTGGGTGGCGATTAGCGGATGTTTAACCCCTTCGCTGCCGGGCTTATAGGGACACTGTTAAGCTACCCGCGGGCGACTAATTAAATATTCTCTTATATTCAATCGTGTCGAATGGGATCTCATATTTCCTTTACGTAACAAGAATATCGTGTTTTGACGCTGAAATTAGCAGTTATATACGTTCCTCGCG